GAGTGTGTAAATCGGGGCTGTCATTTTGTGTGTCCAGTGTACCTGTACAGTTGGGAGTAAAGCTTCCATTACAAGGCTAAACTAAAATGACATCCTGAAATAATGACCCGTGTCCTGTCCAGCTGCAGCAGGTTAATAATACTGTTTGAATAAATCATCAAAAACAACATATGTTCACACAGTTGGAGTAGATGCTATTTTAATAGGTGTTCAAGAAGTAATAGTTGCGTCAGCAGAAATTGTAAAAGGAATAATAGTTGCATTGGCAAACAGTGTTATGACATAAAAGTTGTGAGTGGGGTCGGGGGGGGGGGGGGGGGGGGGGTGTTGTGGCATACAGAGGGCGCACAGGTGACTGAGGGATCCCTCACAAAGCAGGGGGTCCAGTAAGGCAAGGCTGCATTTAACAACTGGGCTGCAACAATCATAAAACATATCAGTCATGATGATTACTAGTGACATAAATAAGTTTTAACACGTACAAACTATCAGAGGAAAGAGACTTCAAAGATCTGGCTATAACCTCTTGTTCACAAAAAAGCCATAATCTACATTCCAGTAAAGGGTAGATACTCTTATACATGGTCATGTATAAATGGATGCATATTCAGTTCAGTATATTTTATTGTTTTTTTTATTTTTATTATTCAGCTAAACCTTTAAAAAGGAACAGTAATAAATAAGTTGAAACTCAAGCATTCAGTCGTTCTGTGATTGCAGGAGCGTCCCTGTTTTATAAACTGTCCTGAACAGACTTTCACTTTTACCAAAAAAAAGGAAAGAGAAGTAGCAAATCAGGAAAAGCTGTTTTCCTACCATTCAAAAAATGCAAGAATCTCTCACTTAGCAGTCTCAACGTACAGTAAGTCATTTGGACCTCAAATCACAAATTTCCATCAAGTTCGCAGCACAGCAGCTATCCTGTTGGTCGTAACGAACTCTGCACCTAAGGAACAGTACATCATTATAGCATACATACAGTACAATCAAGACTGAATTAGAAAAATACAGGTACAAAATGATTACATTCAAGAAGACAGTACTAGCACAATAGGGTGTTATAGTCATTTTGGTAACTAATATAGGAATTCGACTTTATAGAAGCATTTTCTAGAAAAGTGAGGCCAAGGGGGGGATGACATTATTATGGCTGTTTGGTTGATGTGTGGATTTGTTATTGACTTGATTCTCATATATAGAATAATTAAAATGCATAATTTTCATAGAGAGGGTAAAAATTATATATTCTTTTCAAATACCATGATTATTTTGGTTTGGGTCATAAGGTGCAAATACTGTATTTTAAAAGAGGCATTTAGTGGTGCCTTGTTGTTGCACTTCCAACTCTGGGTTCAAATACTGAGTCCTTTAAGATACGCAGGATGAATTGTGCTGATATTGTTACCTGAAGATTTACACACCTAAAAAAAAAGCAGTGCAATCGTTATGCTTACTTTCTATCAGAAAAAAAAAAACTAAAGAGGTTCTCTTTTCATTAGACCTTTCCCTTTTCTTTGGCAAATGTCAATAAACTCACTTCCTATAAGCAAATATATTTCTTTTTTAGGGGGGGAAGACAATTTCTTTGTCTTTGCAAAGAATGACACTAATGTCCACCAGTGGAAGAACCTTGATGTTATTTTTTATCTCATATCTTAAAAATATATATATATATCATTATTATTAGGATTATTGTAAAGCATTCTGGCATTTCCTTCAGTTTAGTTGGGAAACATTTGCGCTAGATTTGAAACATAAATTTAGAGAGGAATCATAGATTCTTTGCACGTACTATTTGCACACAAGGGCTTACACAAGCTGAACATCATTACTATGTAACAATGCCTTCATTTAGGAAAATACTATCTTAAGATAAACAAACTTTTTTTTGTCTGTCCTGCCAGAAAAAGTCAAAAAAAGCACTCAGAGCACCTCTACACACTTATCAAAAAAACATGAAGCAGTTACAGTCAAGCACACACCTCCAGAGGTGAAGAGACTGTGCATGTATCTCAGTGCCTGTTTGCTTACTGTAGCAGGTAAGCATAGAAACATGCATCATCTATGAACTTGATCTCTTTTGACAACATTCTTATCCAGTAATCTTGACCTCAGGGGAAAAAAAACATTGAACTTTAAAATACCGGAAAAAAAAATAAAAAAAAAGGTTAAAAGGACCTACTTTAAAGAGCATCACATATGCACACACTCAGACATGATCAAAGAGAAAACAAAGATCTATAAAAGTTAGAAACGTGGTTAAACTTAATTTAAGTATTGGTCTACACAGAGGAACAGAGACGCTGCTGGGTAAGGAGGTGAGGGGTATTGCTCGAGAGGAAGGCTATGTTCACACTGCAAGGCTGAACGCTCAATTCAGACTTATTGATCTGATACAATCATTTTGTTTGGCTGTTACTTTTTAAAAAAGAAGGCCTATATGAGATCATGTGTGAAAAGGACACTGAATAGATCCACATGCAGCACAGAAGAACAAAGACGTCACACAAAGCGCCATATGCATGGGTTCTGTTGGTTTATCTACTACACAGCAGACTGGAGTCTATTTCAACAGCTAAAAGAAAAACGTACAGAAAGATTGGCATCATTAATAGATCCACGTTGACTGCACTGCATTAATAAACTGCTTGTTGGTTTACGCTCATTTACAGAATGTGGAGGATCTGATCATTCTATCCAGGTGAAAAATCACACCATTTATAAAGTTAGAAAGAGTTTTATCTGTGCGTCTTCTTTTCTTCTCCCTGCACAGCTTTATGTGATAAACTACTCACTGATCACATCTTTTACTTTAGTCTTCTCCTGCTCTTCCTCCCTCAATATGGGATTGTCCCGTAGTCTACCTCTCTAAATAAAATCACTTACACATCTGTATTTTTGTGCACAGGACCTCTAATGTCTCTCATGCTCAGGTTCATTGTAATGCATTGGAGCATTAGATGCTGTAGATGAAGATAAGCTATAGATGCTATAAATCTAGTATTCCAATTACCCAGAATGCTCTAATGCATAAACAACAGTTTCCCATTGTGGAATGATATGACACATTATTAATACACCAGAGAAATATTTCACCATTTCTGCATGAGGAGGAGAGTTGACCGTTACTTCACAAGTGTTGCCGTGGAAATGAGGAGACTCTAGCTCCACTGACTACCTCCATCACAGCTGTGATCCATGTTAGTGAATCGCGCTCTGGCCCCATGCTGCCAGCGCAGAATACTGACATCACAGTCTAATATGTTCACACCTGGCTGTTGAGACTGAGGTGGTATTGATTTAGGATCACATATGAATGTGGCACGAACCTGATTTGAAAAAAAAAAAAAAAATCTGATTTCATGTGATTCATGCTGTTCATATCATGATTAAAAAAATGGATCTGAGTGACATATTTGCATATAAATCAGATTTGGGTCGCTTTCTCTTGCAGTCTGAACATAGCCTCAGTGTAGCTCTTAGTTGACCTCCATTATCCCGCGGCAGCTCTTCCAGGTTCCTTCGACCCTCGGGAAGAAAGCAGCTTACAGTAACTGCATGCGTCCTTATTTTCACTACTACAGCTGATGAACTGTAAACAAAAGGTATGGCCAAGACAGAGGCGTGGAAATGGAATGATACGGACCTAATATCAACATAAGAATAAAGAACAAGAAATCTCTTCAAAATATAAATACATCTAAAGATAACAACATTGATTGAATGTGACCTCTGAGTAGACCATTACTTGGCAATAAAATCTCAAAAGGCCAATAGGAAAAGAAGTGGAAGGGGGGGGGGGGTTGTTTTCTAATGCTCTGCCTCCATGTGAACCACTGAGTAGCCTGCTCTGATTTTAGTTATTTCCAAATCACTCATTTTACGAGTTATGTTAAAACTCATGTTTTGGATTGTCAAACTTCACTTTCATGTGTCCGGCTTTAGCCCGGTCCCCGAGGACACTACTGAGGGGCTATGTTGAAGAAACACTGTGACCGCTGGAGACAAAGCATTTCATCACACTTCCAAGAGCAACTTCGGCTACAAATTAGTGCAGTGTTTGTATCCTCTACAAACAAACCAAAAGAAAAACACCTATTCCAGAAAAGACGTTTGCACACAAAGAGTTAATCTTCCTAACTGCTACGCAAACTGCAATAAGATCAAGTAGTGACAAAAACTGCATTTTAATATCCATATTTTTTTTACATCAAATTTAGGACTGTGATGGCATTGAGCAAAAAGCTGGTCGTGAGCGTTGTGTGTGTGTGTGTGTGTGTGTGTGTGTGTGTGTGTGTGTGTGGGGGGGGGGGGGGGGGGGGCAGATCAAGGCAGGAGGGTTAAGGCTATAATTAAATCACTTTCACACGACCTCCCCATCACAAGAAACAGTTCTTAAGCCTGACAGGAACTTTGTGAATCCACTAGCTCGGGTTAACATGACAAACTGCTTCAGCTATAGTTGACTCTAGTCCAGGTGCATGGGGATGTGCAGGTCTCACACATTCAGTCTAACATGATTATAAGGAGCTACTACGTACTGTGTTACAGTAGCATTATCTTAACAAACACTCCACCATGATTTCCTAGTTAGTTTAAGAACACCACATAAGTGCACCAAAAGGACACACGCAGCGGGCAGTTTGTAAATGGAAGTCATTTACCCTGGTTAAAGTCATTTTGGGTTGAAGCTGGAAGGAAAGGGATGGAGTAGAGCTTTTTAAATACAGAGGTAATCTAGCAGAGGTGGAGGGAACTCTTCAGTAGGCGTGTGTGTGAGGTAAAAAGGTAACGGAAAGCTGTGTTTTTTTTGTTTTTTTTTATCTATAAAACCAATGCTGCGTTGTGTTTACCTAAAATGCTATTATTAAATTGCAAGACTTGACCTTAAAACAGGGTACAATTAACCCATGACATCCATCTCTACAAGGGAAGCCATGCACTGGGGGAACAGTTTGGTTCTTCCACAGGCCCTAACAGAGCATCTAAAGGAGGGGGGTGGGGGGTGGGTGGTGGGGGGGGTGAGGAGTTCAGAAAAGGCATCCTTCCTCTAGTCAAAGGAAGGCTTCAGGGGAAACACTGAGATAGCAAGGAGTACGGAGGAGAGGGGCTCGATCTCCAACATGAACCCCAGCTCAAGTAAATTCACCACAAGGGGGGAAGTTGGAGTCCATCCACACTTCCATATCAAGTCTCCCTTTAGTGTAGGGTTACCACCAGGGAAAGTGAAGCTCCACTTCCACTGTCCATGTTGTGGCTTCTCCTAAAAGCAGCAGAGTTTCACTGATCAGCACAGGAGATGAGGACCGGAGTCTGGGCGAGCTCTTTCTTCTGACTGTCAGCCAATCCTCTCTGGCCTCTGAAACACAAACAAAAGAGTGAGGAGTGTGCTCACACCATTTCAAATGAGATAGTTTCTTTTTAAAGATGTAAGCCTATCAACAGGAAGTCTCCTTTTTTAAGCCTGGACCCGAATTTTACATCCAGTATGAAGTAAACAGGTGCAAAATCCCTGGCATTGTTTGAGCAGCACTTTCAACTAGCCAATCAGTCGACTAGCCACTGAATCAAAGATGGATACTGTTTTCTATTTTTGATTCTAATAACATTGTCCCCATACATTTTTAAAACACTCACCTCCACTTCACTACGATCAGGAGAAAGATGCCTGCCCATCAGTGTCAACCCCACCCCCCTCAGTGTGTCAGTGTGCAGATACTAGCAAAATAACTTCAGATAAGAATTACATTTTGAAGCACAGAAATGGTCATATTACAAATCGTTTTGATAGCACATTCATAAATTAGTATTCAGCACGCTGAGATGTTTGGTTACAGTAAAATGACATTCTCACTTTGAAACATCAGCATTTTATGTGTGGCAGCGTAGCTCCACCTCCGACATACGACAAGATGCATCACAAGGCAAATTGTAGGCTAACACATATTTAAAATTAAAGGTTAAAACAAGATTAAAACACAAAAACAACTTTGTCAGGGAGAGAGAGCAAGATACTGCTGTGAAACATCAGCTGAGTGGACAGTCCTGTTGTCAGCATGCCAAGTGTAGCCCCCTGAAATAATGTTTGTGTAGGACTGTGTAAATGCAAAATGCATTTAAGTTATTTAAGTTTTTATTATACACAGCAAAATATACACGTGAAATAACAATGTGGATTAATTAGCACCTTGTTACGCCACACCTGTCAGGTGGATGAATTATCTTTAAAACTAAAGTGCAACATGATTTGTTTTGACATCTTGAACATTTCAAGACAGCCTGTCCCTGAAATTCTTCCAAACTTGTTATTCAAACTTGTTCCTATCAGGAAGAAGGACATGATGTAAAAACGACACTCAGAATGTTAACAACATATCCAAGATATCAGGCATGATAATGACAGTCTGTTCCTCTATATCAATGCTTTGTGTTATTGGATGTATCAACTAAAAAGTAGAGAAGACCTAACTGGTGAGCAGAGACTATAAACTTCTTTTCATGCATGACCATCTTACCGGTGGCTCACTGGTTGGCAGAAGTATGGGAGAGTCGGGGTTAAAAAAAAAAACAGTTTTTGATCACACATGCAGCGCAAAGTTTTAGGATTTTTGTGCATTTGAGAAAACATAAATAGATTTTCACAAATTTGCTGATGAGTTTAAGAGGAAAGGGCCCTTAGACATTTTAGGAGACATTTAAAATGGAATCTTTAGACAGTAAGTGTACTTACTGTAGATAAAAATAAGATTCATCCGGTGCTGAAAGGTTAAAGCCTGAAAACTATCAGGTCTTTATTCTCCTCATCCTCCTCATCCTCCTCATCCTCCTCATAAGTGTTTTTACAGTCTGTAACATCTCATTGGCTTTTCATAATTCAATAAAATGATAGTGAATGAGGGGCGGCTGTGGATCAGTGGTAGAGTCATCTTTCAACCAGAAAGTCATGGGTTTGATCCCCTGCTCCTGCAGTCACATGTTAAAGTGTTCTTGGGAAATTGCTCCAGTTGCTGCATCTCTATGAATGTGTATGAATGATGGGCATTGTGGCACTACAGCAGCCTCTGCCATCAGTGTGTGAATGTGACTGTAGTATAACAGCGCTATAGACACTGAACAAAAATACATCATTAAACTGAATATAGATGTTAAGACTCTCAACAGTGTTGTGCAGAAGCACGGCTGTGTTCCCACCTGTGAACGTTTTCCATGGCTGCGACCTCAGCGAGGGCTGCCAGGCTGAAGAAAGCAGGTAGCTCCTGGGGTGCCATGCTCCTCTCCACCTCTGCCTCCTCTGCCCTGGGATTACTGTAGCACCCTTCTTCATTGCATAAATTCTGTTGGGGTAATGGCTTCATATCCTGTTCCTGGGTCAGGTCCCTAGATTTTTCCTCTGTAAAAACAAACAAGGGGTTCAATTACATAGAAACTGAATTTGACCATCTTGGTAAAAATCTTAATTTTTCTAGGTAAATTAAACAAGATCAAGACTAATAACTACTCTGACTAAAAAACATCTAATGAAATCAAACATTAGCATCTGCTATGCAAAGAAATATATCTGGTCGAGGTGGTTTGCAACTACTTTCTGTACTAACGTGACTTAAAGATAACTGTTTTGTACATTACATCTTCACATTGAGACAGACATCCAAACTGATCTCATCTCATCTCAAACTTATCAATCCATTGATGCTTTCACACTTACACAAAACTCCTGAAAACTTCCAGAAATGATCAGAGTGAGCCGCATGTTTGAACACATGCGGCCTAATTGTTCCCTCAACTCTACCCAGAATGTTTCCTGCCAGCTCCCTAGTTAGTACATTTTCTGTGTGAAGTCAGGGTGAGCTGGTGTGAGGAGGAACCAGGAAATATTCAGAAAAATCCACAGCCCAGACAATGTGAGAAGAGATAACGACTGCTCAACTCACCCTCAGCTTGAGACACACTGCCATCAGCTGTGCGCACCAAGTGTGTGATCTTGGTTTTCCTTGCCTTCCTCTTCTGGCTACCAACTAGCATCTCCATACTAGTGGTGCCCTGCAAGTCGGGGCACATTGTGGTAACAGGGGCACATGATTTGGCTTTAGAAACTGAATCCAGCACACTGGGATCAATCTGTACTGATGCTGTGGAGACAAGGTTCACAATAGATGTCAAAGACTCAACATTAGCACAAAGGCTGTGATGATTTTTAAACAACAGTTCTTTCTACATGTGTTTAGTCTCAGTGTGTTTAAACCAGACTTTAAAGTCTGCACATGGGGCAACAACTTAACTTGATAATTCTCATGTCTTAAAATCTAAATGAAGTTCTCACTTGTGAGTGGAGTGCATATATACTTGACCAACATTTTTTGTACGATTACTTTATCACATTTTTGTTTCCTGAATGACTTCTCTTAAGGCACTAACTTCTTGAACAAGAAAACCTAAATGCAGTAGTTTTAACTGACCATTTGCAATTTAGCCAACGCAGCTTTTTAAGTCTTTACAACTTTTTCAGGTTCTTAAATCCCCTGACTTGATGCTTCAGGGCAAATGAAATCTATGCATTCAGATAAGCTTTGCAGCTCGAGTCTATGCATGATACACAGCGTAAAGATGAGGGACCAAAGTCTGACGACTAAAGAAGACGTTATAAATTCACATGGTGTGCTTTTAGAGTACGCTGACTTGCTAAGAAGGGTTCAAAAGACTTGAAACTTGGAAATCGTTCTTTTTTTTTTACTGGTTTTAATTGTTTGGTCTGCTTGTTTTGAAGAGGAGGAAACTTCTGCAAATAACTCAGCTCATTGGTTGAAAGAAAGAAGCTGTGCTAATGTTAGCATTAGCAATGCCTGCAGCCCTTCCTGACGTCCTGTATCTATATCATTAAGTTGTTTACAAGAAACAAGCTTCATTCAGTCTACATTATTGATGTTTACCTTTGAGGTGTAATGCTTTTTGGAAAATTTAACTCTTGCAATACACTCCATTGAAGTAAATAATTAAACTTTTTCACATACTGCAGTGTTAAAGAAGCAAACAAAAATCCATTTAAATCGCAAAATAGAACAAGAATATTCACACCTCAAATAAGATGAGTTTATTGTCTGAACTCTTAAAAATTACAGTTCAGAACAAGTTTATATTGAAACCTCAGTAAAGGATATTTTGGGAATTATTCTTTCTCTTTGTTTCCCTTGTGCTCTCAAGCTCAGCTCTGTAACTTCATTTTTAATTTGTTTCAGATAAAATCCTGCAATGTTTGATTGCTAATGGAAAATAAGTTCACATCTCTGCTTTAATTTGCACAGAAACCAACATTTCTAATTCACCTTTTTCCACTGCATCTGGTTTCTCCTTTTTGTGTTTGTGCTTCCTAACAATCTTGTGGAATGAAGTCTTTTTCTGAGATGGAGATGACCCTGATACAGCAAAAAAAGAAAAGAAAAAAGAGCATGGATATGCTATGTTATGGAGTCAGCACAAGAGTGAATAACATGACTTCACAAAAGGGTGCATGGATGAAATGAACAGTTGTTTCTTTCATTAAGTGGAGAAATCTTTGTTGGTTTTTTTGTACCTTTTACAGCTTTGGAAACATCCTCTGGGACAGTGCAGCTGTCACTCTTCTTCTTCTTCGCCACAGTTATCCCCTTCTTATCAAACGTCATGGGGCTATACTGGGGAAGGCTGTTAAACTTCCTCTCAAACTCCTCCTCCAGTTTCCCGAGGCTGACAAGGGGAATAAACAAAGTTAAACATATGATCTATAGTGGACATCAACATTCAAAACAAAGTGCAAAACCACAACATGTAGATGTTCCTACGGAGATCAGTGAAGTCTCTTTGTTAATGCCTGCAGGAGAAGCAATGAGAATATAGCTTCCTCCTTACTTTTAACACTTTTGTAACCCCCAACAGAGGAGCCTCCAGAGCCCCCTGCAGTAATCTATGGGTGATGTCACTCAGGCTGAGTCTATACTTTAAGGGCAGAAACCTGGCTTAAAAGTTAGAATTCCTCCCAAAGAAAAGTCAGAACACTTTTATGTTGCCATAATCCTCCTTTATAGGGGCCCCTAAGAGGACTTATGCAGAAAAAATAATGAAAAACATGTTTTCTGGTGCTCACCGTCTCGTCTAGTTTAAACATAGGGTTTAGTGTGGACCTTCGACCATAACTTAAAACACAACATACGCATAGCTGGTTCTTGGGTTGGGAACCAGAGGGTCGCCGGCTCAAGTCCCGGTGCGGACCAAATCTGGAAGCTGGTCTGGAAGTTTGTGCATGTGTGTGAGAAGCATGTCTCTATAAATAACAGAGTGTAAACCTGAATTTCCCTCAGGGATTAATAAAGGATATCAAAATAAAAAAAAATAAAAAAATCTGACTAGTGTAGTGCTCATGAGGCCTACCATCACTCACAGCTTCAGTGTCAGGGAAAGACACTGAAATTGTTCTCAAAAGTAGATCAAGCTAACTGACAACTGAGGCAGAGTTACCATGTGATGCAAATTTTAAGACAAAGGTTATGAATAGAGCTTTTTATACAGATAAGATCACCATCTGAGGTTGCTAAACAAGTAGTAAAATCATGTCGAAATGTAAAAATAAGTTATAGGAATGCAAACCAAAGACTAAGTAGGATATGCAAATTTGAAGGTGAGGGGAGGGGGGGGGGGCTTTTAAGCATAGACAATAAATAAATAAATAGCCACAGAGTGTGGAATGTCTACATGTTTATGAAATAAATTAAAGGGGGAGAAAAAAAAAAGTTTGCTCTCTAACGTTCTCGGCAGGTGTAGGGAATGAGAGAGAGAGAAAAAAGTCTGCTATCAAGTCTCTCCTCAAATCCATGGGATATGGAGCAATGAAATCCTGAGTGAATTTTTTTCCATTGTGATGGTATAATGAGGAAAGAGAGTGTATATTAAGAGAGGAAAAAAGTGTTCGTGTGTTTGTGGATATGAGAACTCCATAGACAATGCCCCTCCCTGTCAGCATGTATTTCACATGTATCCAGTTATTCTGTGGGAAAAACTGAGATGTGACAATTTAATCTAAAATATATTTAAAAAAAGATTGTGTTTAACTGGTGTGAAGTGATTTGTGCACATGACTTTGAATTCTGGACTATGTATGACCTCCCTGATAAAAAATAAAATTATAAAAAAAAAGAATATCCATCTCTGTTCTACATAGACTTACCCCTGTGATGAGTCGTCTTTAGACTTTGACTTCTTTAGCTTCTTGGGGTTATTAGGTCCCATCTGAGAAGTTGGCCAGCTGTCATCACTCCAGTTTGCATCGTGGTCAGAGGCACGGAAAGCGCCCCTCTTACCTACAGACACACATGTAGTTCAGACAAACAGGAAAACATTATTCATCAAAATGATTTAACTACATGACACTGTAAAAAGAATGGGGTTATGTATGCCTTCTATTTTTTTTTGTCAAGTGAATCAAATTTGATACCTCGGTCGATGTTGGCTCTCAGTGAAGTCAGCATCCCTTCAGAGACCAGGGTTTTATACAGAGCCCCTTTACAGCTCCGCTCGGACTTCCTGGAGCCGCGGCTCTCTGTGCTGGACTCGAAGGTCCCTTCACCTGACCTTTCCTTTCCTTTGTCCTCCTCTAAGAGCTTTGCAGGTGAAGAGCTGCAGGGGGAGTGATGGGGTTCTGCCATGCTGCCCTGAAGGTCTGTGCTTCCAAATGTCATTTCTTCTGATTCTGTCTTGGTCCTAACGTCAGTCACCTCTTCCTTTAGCTCAGCTTCAGAGGAGGTGCCCTGCCCTCTGTTCTCCTCCATCCCCTCCTCCATCTCCTCCTCTTTGTCTTTAACCAAACTTTTTACTTTGGGTTTGCTCTTCTTTCTGGGCGTACCCGAGTTCCCACTATTAGGACTGCTCTGGACTTTCTTCTTCTTCTCCTCTGGCTCCTTCCACACTCCTTTGGCCACTGCCTCGATGGTGCTGAACACACTGTCCACGTTTGACTCTGCAGGATCACACTTTTTGATGAACTTCTTCGCTGAGCAGGAGGCCTCACCTTCATCGTTCGACTTGGCTGTTTCCTTTTTCTTGCTCTTGTTTTTGACACGAGCGTTTTGGCTGCTGAGTTGTGTAGGCGTAGCATCAGTGGAGGTAGAGAGGGAGAGCAAAGGTGAGAGGGTAGGAGTGGGAGAGGAAGGAGGACAGTTGTCATCGTCTGCTTTCTCCTCCTTGATCTTGGGTTGGGCTGCAGATTGCTTGAGAGAGGCTGAAGAGGAGCTGTCCTCAGGCTGAGATACCACTGTGTCCATCTTTCCAGCTTCGGATGCTAAGCACATCTAATGAAATACAAAGAAAGAAAGAAAGAAGATGAACACAAAATGACATCACTATACGCTGTTATATGGTTTTCACACTTGCAGAAAACTCATGAAAATCTCCAGATATGTGAATGCAAACAGCCACATTTTTAGCTCGGACTTATATATACTGTATATGATTCTGCAGAAAGTCTGAGTGGGCTGATGTGAGAACGCAGCAGGATATTCTCCGGAGTATTCCCCTTGAGCGAGTGGGAGGTGGTGGTTACGTATATTTACTATGACTGCTGCATGGTGAATAGACTGTCTGGACCAGACCGCTAAAGGCCCTGACACACCAAGCAGACTGCCGAGAACTGGATGTGACGAAGGCCACCTGTCTTTTGTCTTGACCAACAAGTTGCACAAGATTAGAGCACACCGCAAAGACTACAGCCAAACAACAACGTACGTTCTGCGCATGCGCGAGAGGCAATAACTCTCCATGCCAGCAGGTGGTGCTAGTGTGTAATCGTCATTCCAAAAAGGGGAAACCGGAAAAGGACGAGGAAGAACGTGGATAAATAAACCGTGGTGGTGATATGAGGAGACAGTTTTCTCACCGCTGTCGCTCAACACTCGTAATATAGGAAATTCTAATGGAGAATAATGTCTGATGAAAAGATGACGATGGCGATGGCGTTGTCAGCTCTTGGTCTTTTATTAGTGGAACAAGAATAGAAGAGGTGCTTCAATATTTCTTCTCGTGCACTGGTTCTCCTGTTTCGCTTCTCTGAACAGCCAATCGGAGAGATTCCTACCCCCAACAGCAACGGCTCCTTCGATCCTTCGTGCACATACTTAAACGACTGCATTGTGTTTTCCGTTCATCAGGATGTTGTTCTCCACTCTTTTGTTGATAGTCTTATTCCGTTAAACTACATTTAACCTTGATATAGAGACAAATATTCTCATTATAGCATCGTATAGATCACTATTTTGCTTTGTCCTCTACTTCTGCATCGTTTTTTTTTTACGTCTCGTCTTACCTCAATTCTGAGAGGAGACTGAGTGATCTTGAGACTAAGACCATTTTCTTGTACTGCACACAAGTCTGTGAATTCCCGATACATCATAGGGACATAAACATTGTGCTTTGAATGGGCAGCCTTAACACAGTAATAACACAAACACTCAAACAAGAAACTTCTCCACAGATGATCTGCATTGTCTGCTTTTAGGGGGCAGCCAGTAATAATCAGTTAAGTTAATGATGATGTCATAATATGAATGTGTGTTGTAAACGGTCAGATGTCTTACCTCAGCAAGCTGGAAGAGAGCCGACTGTCTGCATGGTTTCCCTTCAGGTGATAACGACGTAGACATCTGTGACCATAGAGAAAAATTAGTTTTAGTCAGACTACACTTCTTCGACCTCTGAAGATGTTTTTATAATTCAGCCTCGTTCACTTTAGAGCTCAGAGTTCCCCATGTTTGTTCTTCTTGTAGGACAGATTAAGTCTAGGTGCCTGCATCATGATGCCAGTTCACCCACATCAATGGGTTAGCACGATATGTTGGCTCAAAAGCCACAGTTTTAACATCATAAAGTTTGCCCTCATTTAACCTGGCTAGATCACCATGGTTATCGATACACTGGGCGAGAGGCGGGCATCCTGGACTGTTCACCAGCCAATCACAGGGCTGACATATAGAGACAGACAACCAGCCACACTCACATTCACACCTACGGACAATTTAGAGTCAGCAGTTAACCTAACGAGCATGTCTTTGGACAGGGATTCAAACCAGGAACCTCCACACAGAGAGACTCCTGTCAGATGAGGATTCAAACCAGGAACCTCCTCACAGAGAGACTCCTGAAGGACTGGGATTCAAACCAGGAACCTCCTCACAGAGAGACTCCTGAAGGACTGGGATTCAAACCAGGAACCTCCACACAGAGAGGCATACTGCATAACTAATATCAATAACTAGAATCAGTGTTATTTAATGTATAATTTTGAAACAGCCCATTATGCAGAGTGGACTACCTCATATTATGGTATCTAACTTTGGTATTTAACTTTCAACTTTTTATTTTTTTCCTGCAACAGAGATTTTATACACTTGAATACAACTCTTAAATAAAGTCTCTGAGTACATATTTCTACTCTGCTAAATAAATTAACTTTTTACAAGTGGCTCATTTATCTGCACTCAGATATTTCCATTCTGGTTTATCTGACAGTCGTTTATCAGCTACTCGTTTGTGTAATCATACTCTAGCTCAGCGTTTGGTGACAGTCTCTGTCTCTACTATCGTCTCCTGGTAGGTGTGATAAGTCTTTAGCTACTTTTCTGACTCCCGCAGAGGCAGTGGTAAATGCGAGGCTTAGTGATTTAAAAATGTATATCTGCACCATAGAAACTAAAGGATTAGCAGCTTTAGCAGCTGCTGCCGCTACAGCCTGATTAACTTTAGCTGTGTGCAGCTCTCAAGGAGACGGTACAACACTCTGAAGTCGGGGTGAGAGTGTTCAAAGGAAGCATAGCACTAAGCAGAGGAAGCCCACTGCCCACCAACCACCTCTCCATGTATCAAACAGCTGCTCTGTTTCTAATATAAACTATAGGCAGGCCGCACAGTGCTGCTATCATTGAGAACATAAACTTGGGTTTAGCAGATTGGGTACTTTCAACTTGGTTTGCCAAAAATGGAGGCGTGTCTAAAGCCTGGCTCACACTGCAGGATAATCGGGACGATTTGAGCTCCGATTCTTCCTTCCCGACAATCTCAGGGTCGCTCCCGACTCCAGGTTGCTCAAATACGATTATCTGTTCAGATTATCTTGTAGTGTGAGCGGTACAAAGATCCAATCTTAACGTCCCCGATCTGCCCGGCGATCGTATCTCTGTATAGAGAGATAGTGTAGATAGTACACATCATGTCCTACCTCAACTGGCGGGGAAAGGTCAGACTTGACCGTGCTCTCAGTAACGTCAGCCGCTCTGTTGGGCATCGCCCCAGACATCATCTGCAAATTAAAATATCATTTAAAAAACAAAACTCAGTTCGGCTGTACATTTAAAATATTAAATCAATGTTACAAAGCAAGACCCCTTTTTCAAATCAATTAGCTGTTACAGTCCTTTCAGTTAAAAGTGACATTCTCAATAAACAAAATGTCAAGAAGTGAACTCTAAGAAGGTCACATGATTATTTTACAGATCTATAGTTGTTCTCAAGTTAAAGTTATCAAAAATGTAACGCTAGATATCTAAAAACCAAAGTTAAAATGAGATCACTGATATGGAACTGGTGTGCAGTGTACCAACGTGAAGCCCCAGTTTAACTATGTGACAGCCAATCTTTAAAATCTGCTAGTTCTTTGATTTCTAGTCAAAAATGTCATTTAATATGTCAAATAAGGAATTTAAATATATATAAATGACAAAGAAATGTTTAAAAACAAGTTTAGCTTTTATTTTATCAATACAATCAAACTGAATTTCCCCTAAGAGGATTAATAAAGTAACCTTCATTTATCCTTTGGGGTTAAAATAAAAACAGTAAACCTGTCTTTGAAATTGCACTATGCAGTTTTAGGAATCAGAAAAAAGTAGAAATAAGGCAGAGCAGCTTCAGAGAAATGCTTGTGACTGGGTGGCACATACCTGGGGCCCCCCAGTCACTCTGTAGTAACCGAGGAGGGAGGATGTGAACTACGGGAGCCCAAGAGGAGTGGCAGAGTTCATTAAGAGAAAATTGTCTTTTCATTTAATTTCTGAAAATCAAAATTTTCCACAAACCTGATTTATTGATAAAATTGATATATCACCCAGCCCTATGATGACCTAATGAGGGAGAAAAGCTGTATGTCCCAATCATATATTGATTGCAGGGGATGATGAGGGCAGCTGCACTTGATGTCATGGGGTTGCATGTCTCAAAATCTTATACTGCTATATTCATCGTGCAGACAGGACACCGCTTACTTTTAAAATGAATAATAAGTGTTATAAGTGCGTCTTATACACCGATATTTACAGTATACTGTGGGTTTGTTGATGTGCTTGACTTTCACAGTTTCATTTGTTAATTTCTAACTCATAATCTCTATCCAGTATGTCGCCTTAGATACCCGTCTTAATTGATTTTTAAAATATATTTTCAACATTTCAAAGATGTTTTTACAGAGAACTCAAATAATCTTCTAATTAGTGAGAAAAGACATTTTGAAAGTTAAAATGTAACATGCACTGAAGAGAACTATTAAGCTACCACTGATATATATTGTTAAAAGGGCTCTCTATACAACACAATGTTACGTTTCTGGTCTCAAATATACAGAGTATAGGGAGAAGAGAAATATGGGCCCTGAACACACCTCCTCCTCATGCCCTGGATAGGAGTTCCCTTCGCTGGCTGTGTCAGGTAAACTAGGTTTAGTGCTGGAAGGAATCTAAAGAGATGAACACAATTGAAACCAGTGAAAAATAATCTTAAAAAATCAAAATCACAACATAATAAAACACCATGGTTTTTGGAGCTGCAGGTTAAACTAACATAAGATTATATTCTGAGGCCACCTACTGGACAGCTGGGGCATAACAATATTTCATTTCACTGTGTACTTGTATATGGTTAAAATAAAAAAAACGAGAACTTCACTTGAACAAGGAAGCGCTCAATGTCCAACAGGTACCCACCTCTCTGTTTGTGAGGGCATGTTCACCAGCTAACAGCAGCATGCTAAGGCCTCCCATCTTCGTAGGATCTGTCAAAGGATGACAGTAGTTACTAAAAACAATCCTTCATTTAAAATGTTGATTCTAAAAAAGAAAACTGTAGTCATACACACCTGCCATGGCAAAGTTTAACTGTGGCATGTTGTCCGCTTTGGGCACTTTCTTGGCAGTGGTGGAGTCCTTTGCTGAGTTGGAAGAGAAGGACCAAACTTTTTTGCGGGGATTACTTACTGGCTGACAAGAAGGACTCTTGACTGGTTTGCTGGTGGTGGGACACCACTTGTAGCCAGGGTTTGCTTTCATAAAGGCATCTTTGTACTGAAACAACATAGAAATATCATTTAATCATTTGTAGAACGCTGAGGTTACAAATACTTCAATCTTGTTTAAAGTGTATCTATAATCATTATTGTTAATAAAAAAAACATTGATTAAAGTTAAAGTGAAGGGAAACAAAGGTATAATCCATCCAGAGTTTAACAAACACAAAGCTGATACATCAGGACATGTGGTTTGACTACATTTGATTAAAAGTAACTTTGAAACAAAAACAAATGGCAAAGCTGCCTGTGTGTTAGGTGTGGTATGACATGGCTCAAGGAAGACACAACAGGGGGGGCGGGGAAACAAATTCAATAAATAAAACGTCTTAAAAAAAAAAAAGATTAATAAAAAATCTTTTTGAACCTGTAAAAGTTTTTTAGAACTTTGGCCAATATAGAATTTCAAAAAATAGAGATGAACAAGAAAACACTAAAGGCTTAACTGAGATACAAAACAGTATTAATGTTGCAGGGTATCATGTAGCACATCATCAGTAACAATACATAACAAGGCTTCCACACAGGTGAAATTTGACATTACCAATAGTCAGATGCTTAAATGTTTGCGAAAGGGCAAAGAGCTATGGGCTTCTTTATCATTCTTTTTCTTAGTTTGCATTCTGATAAAAGTAAAAATGTTGTATGTCTGGGGGCGCTGGTGGTGCAGTGGTTAGTGCGTGTGCCTCATGTATGGAGGCTGTAGTCCTCCAGGCGGACGGCCCGGGTTCAGGTCCAGCCTGTGGCTCCTTTCCCTCATGTCGTTCCCTGCTCTCTCTCCCTGATTTCCAGCTCTATCCACTGTCCTATCTCTCCATTAAGGGCAAAAAAAAGCCCAAAAAAAAATATTAAAAAAAAATAAAAAAAATGTTGAATGTCAGTCATTTCAAGTCTAGCTCATGACAATAGTAAGGATATATTAAGGTGAACATTACCAACAAACAAGACCTGCACTGGTTGCACCAGCTATTAGCCTAGTTTGAACATCATTTCTAATGAACAGAGTTTAGGAACTACAAAAATGTAAGTTGTTTTAGATGCTGAGTAAGTCACAATTCAGATCTTACACCTAGCTCCAAGTAGTTATAAACTCCTCTGAAATACAATTGTCCCTGTGTATCGTTATGAAAGGTGAATAACTTGGAGGATGAGGAGGAGTGAAAGGTTTACCGGTTGTTTGTTGTCTGCATTGTGTTAATAGATTACATCACTCTTTGATTTGAACACCTGCTTTTGTTTTTCATGAGTGGAGATCATTTCATCAATCCATTAATAGAGTATCATTACATTAGCTTATGTTTGAGTTGACAATTTAACCACTTGATGACACTGCAGGCTTTTATTTATCACATAATCATAATGCTTGGTCATAGTTGACATACATTTCCACCAATGTTTGTGGAGTTATATTCAGTTGTAAGACTCTTCAGAGACAATCATGGAAAAGAGGTAACACCGTGGAAAACACTGGATTAAAAATGCTTTTCACTGATTGGTCACATCAAGTTCAATTGTCTTTTCCTTTTTTTTTTTTTTCCTTTTCTCCATATGTGTACGCATTTGTGGATCTTGCAGGGCAGGAGTGTTGCAAAAGTCACGTGTAAAATGACAGCCAATGGAGAGGTCCGCCTCAGTTGTAAAGCGATCATTTGTGTGGATTTTCAGGATTTACAGCTGAAAAAACTCACTGCTATTAATAAATAAGTAAATATTTCGAAATTGGTCTACATATTTGCAGATTAATTTACATATTTATGGATCTTTTTACACATTTGTGGATCTGTGTACGAATACTCAAATAGTTTTGCCACAATAATAGCTCCATATCAATCCAGCACTAAACAGGAAGGACTTAAAACAGTTGAAGCGTAGTAGAAAGGAGCAGTGACAGTTAAAAGCAGGAAGAAGGAGATGCTTCTCAAACTGCCAAAAGGCCAGCCAATCAAATATTATGGCCTTAACCACTGCAGATAAATCAAACAACTGCAGACACAATGGCAGCTTTGACCAAAAGCTACTTCTGTTTCTGCTCCATTGTTTGACTTTTTATTAATTTCAACCAGAAGAAAGATGAGAAATATCTCATCAGGAATCTAGTTCTACTCTTTAAAGACTCACCCAACAAAACCCCCAAAGTCTTACTGTTGTCTTTTTAAAGACTATAGAGGACTATATAAGCATTGATGTCACTTTTCCACCGGACCACAGGATGTCAGCTGGACAAAGCGCCATTAACACTCTGCAACATGGCTGCCTTAGGTAGGGGAAACGATGAGAAGGGGAGTAAAACAGACAAATATCTGCATAAGTTCAGGGCATTTGGACTTGAAAAAGATCCCTACAGTCGACCAGAGACACAGTGGTCCGTACACACTGATGTGTGTATGTGCCTGATTTCAAAGCACAGTAAGTACACAGGAGTACATAACGCAGAGCCTGAGACACACAGAAGACAAGTCTGATCAGTTATGGACTTGTAACTAAATAAACTTGGCATAAAGTAAGGTTGTAGTGATTCAGTGATCTCATTGCTTCAGCTTTCGGTAGTCAGCATAATGATCCCTGTTGTTGAACAGAGGGGTTCAACATACCCAGGCTTTCTTTAAGTATAAGCTGGCTCCATTTTACCATCTAACAAACTGTTGGTGCTTCTCATTGATTTCTTAAGTGACAACTGCACAGTGCAGCCCTTAAACTTCAAAGATTTGTCCAGTAAAAACAGGCTAGCAAACATCGTCTAAGTGGCATGCAATGGGATTGGTGTGCAGCAAACTCAGCTGCAGGACATCTCTAGTGAGGCAGGGTGTCATCAGTAAGGTTCAACAGATCCTAAACTGTCCCGACCACATTCTTCTTGTTGTGTTTGATCTCCTTCCTTTCACCAAAACAAGAGTTGAAGACATTCTTTTATCCTTGTTTCTATTGAAAAGCTTCATTTGGTAGCCTAACTGAACTGTTTTTTTATGTATATGCGAGTTAGAGATTTTTAGATTAGTTTTAGATTGTATACCGGACAATTTACTGATTATCTATTCTTCTCTTTTCTATTTAAGCTTGATTATTCATTATAACTACTGTATTTATTTTACCTACTGCACACCACTTTATTTGACTGAATGTACTTTTCTGTTCCGTCTGAACTTTTTCAGCCTCTGGCTCAGTGTGGCTGAAGTACCTTTGTTTTTCACCTGAGCTGTGGGATTTTCTGTATGTCTGTGTTTCTGATGTTTTTCCTTTGTCTATGTGTTGTGTCTTGATGCCTGCTTGAGATCTCATTTCCTTTGGGATAATAATAAAGTTGATGTTGAAGTTGAAGACTTTTCATGATTCTTTGTCCAAGCATAAAAACATATTTGACTGTGCCTAGATCCTGGGTCATCATGGTTCTTTACTCTTTGGTTTGGTTGATCTGCTGCAATTTCAGCACCAATGTAAAGACAGGAAGGTTTCATTTGGTCTCATGTAGTGGAGAGTTAAAAAATGTTGGTGTTTGCACAGTTGCAAAAGTCAAAGAGCAGTCTTACCTCCTTGGCCATGTCGGTGTATTTCTGCTTTTCTTTGGGCTCCAGCACAGCCCACCAGTCAGCCAGGATCTTGGTGGCACCCCTGTTATCCAAGCGAGGGTGTTCCTGCCGCACCAGGGAGCGGTGGCGTTTGCAGAAGAGGAGGAAGGCATTCATTGGCCGCCGTGCACGCTGTTCATTGGAATCCTCCTCCACCTCCTCTGTTGTGCTTCCACACTGCACCTGCAGGCCCTGGTCTGGCCCACACAGCACTGGCTGCTGATAACATATTCAAATACCGTGAGATTCACTGCTGGATCAAATGGTCCATCCCATTTCTGGGATTAACTGACACACCTGCTTTCATAGACAGAATGGCTCAAACATCCCGTCACTAACCTTCTCCAGCTCCTCCTCATCCTCTTCTTCTTCCTCCTCAGAGAAATCCAGTGTCTTTTTGGAGAGAAGTGGGTGCCACTGCAGGCATTTGCGTTTGGGACGCTTGCCAGTGACCTCGCCTGCTACAGGTGGTTCCTTACCCCTTCCTCCCCCCTTCATGGTACTACCGCACCTTAAAAAAACAACAGATTTGGCCCAGATAAGGCCATATTTAAAGTTAAAACCGTCATCCTTACGTGCATCATGAATAATGGTTTTCAATGGAAAATGAAACAAGTATGTTTACACACACATATAATAGATGGTGGTGTGATAATAACTACTGGTGTTGTGCCATGGTTAGTTTAGAGAACTTAATGACTTCAAGAAGATTTGCAAAAAATGTTTTCAATTGCATTTAATTATTAGTTGTAATATTTTGACTAATACTGAACTTGTGCTCAGACAATTTAAAAAACCATCTTTCAACTTCTTAAAACTCCTATCATTGGTGCTAACTGGATATATCGACAGTCTGGTGTATGTTTGTGTGTGTGTCTTAAAATGCTCACACAATATCTGACAAACAAGAAAGTAAATATTGGAAAAGTACCTGAAATAAAAAGAAACAAGAATGTGTGTTTCATTAAAAAGTCCAAACAAAGTCCAAGAAAACACAATAATTAATAGAAATTAATTAATTAAATAAGAAATAGTACAATAGTTACATCCCAAAAAGTCCCCTAAAGAACAAAGTGTGTTCAAAAAGGTTCACATGTAAATAAAAAAATAAAAAACAGAAATGTGTCAGATGTAAAGAAAATCAGAAAGTGTGTGTCAAAAATGTCCCCATTTTGACAGGAAAACAAGAAATAGTCTCCAGAATGTTAAGAAAACAAGATAGAATGTGTGCCAGATATTGTACCAACATCATCATGGAAGCAGGAAAGTCTGTTTGAAAAAGTGACCTCATTTTCTTGTTTTAATGGAAGCTGTGCGTGTATGAGAAAATGTCTAAAAAAAAAAAAAAAAAACCTGAAGTGTGTTAAAGACCTTTACTATTTGGATTGTGCAATGAGCCCACATCCGAACAACTTGCCAAAGGTACTTAAATGCTGCTTTCTAAGGACGTACTCACGCTAGGCAATCCGTACTGGGTCCACCCACGTTTGACCCCCAAAGTCCAGTTTGTTTGACTAGAGTGAGTACCACAATACACTTCCTTGAACCTGGCACATCTGGAAGCGGTAGGCTTCAGCACGGTATGGGTTTGAAATGTGAACATGACGTATAGTTGATCATTTGCATAATTGAGAAATTCAGAAGTGTCATAGGGACGTATCTGACAAAAATGACTCAGAAAAAGCCATAAAGTTGTCAAAGTTTGCAGTCATGTTCTGCGTGTTGTTGTCCTTTGTGCTGACTCTGAGACTTTCTTGTAAACTAAAGGATGCACCAGGATACTGTAAAGCCATGTGTGAGTCGTATGACGGCGTGATAAAGTATGTAAGAGGTAACTGTTCTCAGGATCTGGTTAGGCCTGGAGCAACATGAGGGACTGGGGAGGGGGGGTATTCATGCTTCAGCACGGTATGGGGAAGCTGGGCCTAGTGTGAGTGAGCCCTAAAACAAATCATTCAAATGTCTGTCTACCTTAGTCCATTAACTTACGTGATAAATATATAGAGACCTTAACCTTATTGTTTTTTAATCACGACTTTTCTGCTTCATATGCAAACGTACACAGAGACTCATTCACCTTCATTTATTTTAAATAAACATAAAATGATGATAACAAATCATAATGCAGACTTGTGCTCTTGTTACTAAGCAGCAGAAGGTCATTACAGACTGAAGTGTGCACATGATATAAAACTTTGTTTGATCATGAAGCCTGATGTTTGTCATTGAAAAAAGAGAAGACACGGCTCCTTTTACTGTGAAAACCAATCACACAGATCCCAGTGAAGAAATGTCTTATGTGTTGCTACTCTTGATGGTTACATCTCTCCATCTAATCAATTACAGCATGTGGAGATGTAGTTTATGCATCATGACAGGGTGATCTGACTTCAAAACTGTCACTTCAGTAAACAGGTAACATCTGTGCCATGCTGGAAAAAAAAAGGCTTTTCTGTTTCACATGATAAGCCATTCATTGTCTTTAACTCTCAGGCAGTAATAGACGGCTCAACATGCGCTCAGGTACTCAAGTAGGGGAGTTTTTGATTAATCATGATTTACCTCAATGAATATTCTCTTTATAAGATTGACAGCACTAGTTATTTGATCAACAAACATTTTACAATATCATAAATCGCCAACAAATAGTTGTCTTTTGTGCTGCAGACAGTCCTGAGAGTAGGGCTGGGAATCTTTGGGTGTTGCATGATTCAATTTGATTTTGATTCTTGGGGTCACGATTTGATTGAGAATCTATTTTTGATTGAAAACGATTCTTGATTCATGATTGAAGTCTATTTTTGGAGTAGTACGTACTTCAGGATCTACTCCAGTCATCTAAGAGACTGGCTGAACTTCTTGCTGCTCTATTTGGTATTGTGCTGAGTTAAAGCGCTAGCATTAGCACTTAGCAGGGAGTGACTGATTAGAAGTTATGAATCTATTTAAAATCCCAGAAGGTAAGAATCTTGATTTTTACATAAACTGATTTTGTTCCAGCCTCTACCTGAGAGTATGCATACTATGAAGAACACACTGCTGTAGAAATAATTAGGAAGTTGCCATCTTAAGACAACTCCATGTGTTGTGTTCTTTTTTATTTTAAATGAATATTGGAAAACAGATAAGCCAATATTACAACTGTTTCAAATGATTTAAAAACTAACTAAAAAGAACATCAACTAGTGAAGCAAATTCATAAGATGGTCATTACAGTGGTAACCATGATTGAGTTATATAAAACCAACATAAACTGAAGGAAGGTAAAAGGCAAAAAGGGATTAGAATTTATAGACATCAATGTAAAAAATGATTTATAGTACATAAATATTATGTTTTAATTATTAATAGAATTAATCTGCGTAAGTCTGTAGTATAAAGACCTACCCAGGTATAACCAATAAGGGGGCTAGATCCCACCATGCAGAGACATGAAGACACTATAAAAGGCTTAGTCTCTCACCTTTGAACTGCAGCTTCTGTCTAAATTTGGTTCAATTTTACATAAGCAAGGGACCAACTGACAGAATAAATGTATCCCCCCACTGACCATCTTTTCATTAGCCTTAATTTGCTAATTTTCTCCTTTAAGTTACCTTGGAGAATCCCACTACTGCAGGACCAAAGAGTGAAACAGCGCTGTACAGGATGGTGATTTAGAAGTGATGGACTCAGCAAAGACTTTTATATTTAATGGCATACCACCCACTATGATATACGAGTCTACAAGATTACACAGCTGATATATCACAGAGAAGGATTGATAACAGAGACTATTATGTGGTATAGTAAAGTCCTACTCTTTGGTCCAGAGGAAATCGGGAACAATTTTTTTAATATTTTAATTTATTCCATATTTGCCAAAATACTTAGAGCTTTTGTAACAAACCAGCAGAGCAGGATTTGGGATATTATGAGCACTTTGCCCTGAAATCTGTTTGAAATAATAAATAAATATGATGTTGATCCATATCATCCAAAGATGTATTAGTGGTAGAAGATGGGATGAAACTATGGTTAAAATTAGGCAAAATTTTAACTAGACTATGTCAATTATAAATACCATCTGCTGCAATTTTAGTGCTAAGTGTTTGGAACTGTTTTACCAATATTTGGTTTAAATGGACTAATCAATGAAGAGGTCTACCAGAATAAAAGAAAATAAGCAGAAAGATCATGGTAGTTAAGATAGTAGTGTGTGGTATAAAGCATTAAGGCAACACCACATCAATCAGAGTGAATGTAGAGCTGCAACAACCGATACGTTTAGAAAATGAGACTATTAAAAACTCATTTAATCATCTATTTGTTGTGTCGTGTGTTTATTCACATGCAGACAGTTAAGCAGGGAGTGGCCGAGTTTCCTTAACGAGCTGAAGACACTTATATTGATTTCCCTTTTTGGTCCACTAATCTTTCAACATGTTGTCATATATTCTTTGTTTTGTCTTTCATTGTTTCTTTTTAATGTTGGATTAATTTGTGCGTGTATTTCATTTTTTATTTAAGTTTAATTTATTTTTTTATTGCACTCGTCCATCTTAAAATTTGTTTAAATGTTCTGAATAGATAAACTTAACTTTCCTTTTTTTAATCATGTTGGTAATACCTTCATGAAGTGTTCATTTTCAAGAGTTAATTTCATCAACACAAAATTATGATAAATATTCATCAACATGAAATTTGTCCATTGCTAAAAAGGTGATGTTGAATGTTGAAGAGCTAAACAGAGATCTTTGATAAACAAAAAGGACAACATGTATGTTTTGTTTTGGTAAACTAGAAATCAAAAAGACTAAAACGTCAGTGATGCATTGGCAGACACTGAGAATCTATATCCCCCCACTTACCACACTGTCCATTACAAGCTGAAGCTCTGCATCAAAAGTGTATTTTAAGTTAAAGTATTGACAGTGCAATAATATGTTTCCTGTAAGTACTTTCTGATGAAATCATTTTAACACATTAAATTAATTTAAAAAGAAAAACGTTGTCAAGTTATGAAGAATTGAATTTCCCTCTGGATCAATGAAGTTTATATCTATGACTTATATATAATGACTATTATTAATTAAAACTGGACTTAAATGTTTTGTGTTGTCCTCAACTAAAACTAGAAAAGGCAAAAAAAAAAAGTCTAATTGTGACATAACATGAAAAGTATTTTCATATTAAGACTAAATGTAAAGCAGCTGACAAAGTGTGAAATGAGATCAGAGTGAAGACAGAGCTGTAGGTGAGTGAGGAAGGTAAATATATTTACACATTGCATAGCATGTTTGTTTGGTTTTTTGAATAAATCTTTGGACTGTTGTTAAAGATATGTAATGAAACAAAGCCTTGTCATTTAGTTATTTTAATAGAATTATCTAAGTCATGATGTCAGGAACTTTCAAGAACCAACCTGTTGTCATTTTGAGATCATGTTCTGTTTTGGAATAAAGGGATGGAATTTAAAAAACTGTTTTTTCATTCAACAGATTCATCGTATAATAAAAAAATAAAGACTGAATAATTTACTATTCAAATAATCGTTGGTTGCAGCCCTACTTGATTGTGAATGAAAATACAGAAGAGATGCCTCAAATGGGAAAGAGCTGAGGGAAGTAAACCAGATTAAAGGGAAAATCAGTCTGTTGAGCCTGGCTCTCGCTTTACCTGGTTAAATCACCACGCTAACTTACTTTGCTAACCTAACCAGGTCAGGGTCAGGTTGTGTTCAGGGTTTTAAACCAGCTGAGAAGTATTACCTGACCATGTTCTCTGTGTGCAATATGTATAGAAACATCTGAAACTGTAATTTCACCTGAATAAAGCCTCACAGTTACAATAACTTACACTGTAACTGTGAGGCCAACTTGTAAACCAAGTTGTTGGAATCTCTCTTGAGTCCAAATGTCTTTCATTAATCTGAAATTTTAATAATTTTCTCCTGTTTTTAATCATTTTCACTACTGAAGACAGCCATGTTACAGGCTGTTTACCCACTGTCTGTCACACTCAGTAAGTTACAGTCATTGTATCTTTGTCTGCAAAAATACAATGACTGTAACATACTGAGTGTGACTGTAACATACTCTATATCTCTCTTCAAACTGACTCAAATACACAAGAAATAGTAACCTTTTACTTTGAAAAACCCAGGAGATGCTGGTCGACCTTACTTTGTTGGTAGTGTTGTGTGACTAGTGTTTGAACAGGATAACAGAATCAGTTCAGGGCAGTAGTTAGACCAGAACCTCATCCTTTCTAACCTGCACTCTGGTTGAAGTTGACATACTCTAACAGGTTGCCCTAGCCCACATGGATTCAATTGAAGTCAGCACATTTTACAGCTCCCGATTGAGGAAATCTTTCTGAAAAATTTCACTTTTTTTTGTACCAATAAGTCACTAAGACCCCAAAATGTGTAATGGTAAAAATTAGTCATGTTTTTAAAGAATCTCCACTTAGAAATAAATAAACAAGATAATATCTCATATTTGAATGATTCAGTTAGGCTGAACAATACAATGCTTTGTTATTACTCTTTGATATTGCACATTTGCGCTTGCAGAGCTGAATATCATAGAAGACTGCATGGACAATGAGCCATATGTACTCATTATGAGTTATTAAGTAAAACAATGACAAAATGTTAAAGAGTCAAGAAAATATGAACGGCCATCTTCAAACACAAATACATTTACTGTAGTCAGTCTTAAAGAAGTTAAGATGGTATACAAAATGATTATTTTTAATCAAGCATCATTTTACATTATCATTTATTGTTTTTAATGTTTCAACATGTTTGTGTTTGCTCTGGATGTCTATTAAAAAATGACACAGATTAAATTAGTTGTCAGTGATTGGCTTAATGACTACTCTTCTGTACATCATTCAAACTAGATGCCAGTGTTTGTATTTATGGATGTCAAGTGGAAAACAGAGATACTTACTGAAGAATAAAACTATGGAAATGCTGTATGAGTGATGAAGATGAATCTGCCACAGCCTTTGTCATGCAATGACGATGACCTATAAAATACAAGACACTGCTCTCAGTCATGCGTTAGGCTGTCATCGCTGCAACAATGTTCCAACATGAGACTCTGCTGCAAGAGAAACATGTATGCAAAGCAACTTTAACACAACATTAGTGAGTGACAGTGCATTGAACACCATCGTCATTTTGTCTGGAGTGATTACCGATCACTTCAATCATGCACTCGATCCGCCCTTGTGGACAAAACCAAAACATGTAGGCCGAAATCCTGCGACCGGAGGATGCATTTCATACACAATAATTCATCCTAAATGAAGCAGGCACAGTGTCAGTGAGCATCGAGCGGAGCGGATGTCTGCTGGTGTTCACAGGTAAAACTGCTGATGCCCGATCGGACTGTCTTAGGAGTGAAGTGTTGAGCTACAGCACTGAGATTCTCTAACAATACTAGATTTACATGCGAATAAACGACCCGTTCCCCCAAATCATGTAATCCTACCTCCACCGTGAAGCACACATTTTCGTTTCCGTGCAAAATGTCGATGTGAGCTCTGACAAGACAGAGAAGCCGAATGAGAGTCCATCTTGCTTTGGTTTGGAGGAGAAAAGCCAAGTACAGTATGGAGAATATTTCACTCCTGTCAAACTCTCCGATGACAATGTCGTCGAAATGTCTCCCACTCCGAGGGGAAAAACATCCACAGTGATTAATTAAAGTGGGGATTTTCTGTCTAGGCACATGCATCTGTGGACAATGTTTGGCTGGGCAGTAGCTCCATTTTCTAGCACTGTTACTAGGAATAAAAGTAGCTAGTTAGCCTGCTAGCTGCACAGCCTGCTAACTGGACGTGTCACGGCTTTAACATGCAATGATTTTCAAGCCAAGTGACCAGCTGCTAACTAAACTTAAAGACTAAACAGTGATTAAAACACTTGGTACTGTCGTTTCCATACAACGCAGGTCTGATGCGGAGAGGAAGAGAGTCAGACCTCCTCACTGAGGAACAGTTTGCTTGGCCATTTCTTTCACACGGAGATATCTAGCAGGAGTGAGGAAATGTTTCAGCAACAACAACGGAGGGTGTAGGACACGGGTTGTCGAGGAAATGTCGAGGGTAAAGTAAGCCATTCAAAGAGACTAGCCATCAGGCGGACATCATGTCCCGAGCAGCGATAATAACATATTTTTCAGTGACTGACTGAGAGGTTGAAAAGACAGAGAGCGGGTTCTCACGGGAAATCAATGAAAGCACATGTTCTCTGTCATCATCGTCTCCTTCATGTCCACACGTACCTCCAATATCCTGCTCAGGTGCCGGGGGGGCCCTCTCATCATTGGTGCCGTCCACCTTTTTAACTTATTGACACATCATAACAGTTCAGCACTGGCTGTACTAAACACAGCTGCGTCAAGTTAGCGCAGAGAGAGACGCGCACACCGGAAGCACAACCACAAGTTTTATCAGGAAAATCTAAATTCATCTGAGTAAACATTTGGGAATGATATTGCGCCAGGCATGGGACAAAACAACAGCTTTACATTTAAGTAATTGTCAAAAATTGAGAGTAACGCAAAAATGAGAAGAATAAATAAATGAAGTTTGAAATGCGGAGAATAAGCCAATGACCACCAATCAGGTTGAGCTATCAGTGACTTACATCCGCCATGAGAAACATAATAAGAGAAAACAGATTATTTTTATTTCATTTGGATCTTTAAACAGAAGTTTAAACAAATACACTTGAAACTCGATCTTTTTTTGTACCTGCTGCCTCTAAAAGTTAAATGTATTATTTTGGATTTTTGTATAAGTAAGTATTATTGTATTTGAAAAGCAGTTTTCTTTCTCTCTGTCACCAGCAGAGTGTGCTTTGTGGATCACAACAAGCACTATCACTTATTATCACAGTGTGATGCACGTACATGCCACTTACTTTCCAATTGAGTAACAATCTTTTCATTGTTATAAATCTTTATTATAAATAAAGTGTTTGATAACTGTATTTACAGAAACACAATGAACGTGTACATCTCCATCTTTCTACAAATAAAAGATAGATCTATGAAAGATAACATTCTCATATCAGTCTGGCCTTAATAATGACAATAATAATAGAATAGAATTTGTGTCACCTGCAGTGTAAAAAGTGCTTTGAGTAGGCTGGACTGGAAAGGCGCTAAACAAGCTCATGTCTATACCATCTAATGACTACTTAACGTTTAACTTTCATTATGTACAAGAGAAAAGTTACAAAGTTCCCTAAAATAATACCGTCCAGCTCAGCTTTTGTTGGAACTATATGATATTGTGTGTAGGATGTAAAATGTTTGATAACTCTTCATATCATGTGTTTTTTTAATTATCCAATCTCTGTTATAATAGTGAACTGTAGTATTGAAACGTAACAAAGCTTTACATTTTTTTTTACCTTGAGTCATATTTTAACCAAAAGCTGCTTCAAGCGAAATAGAGACCGAAAATACACAAATACAATGGAAATATTTCAGTATCGAAACACTCACAATCTTTTTGTGTAATTTAGTGCAGGAGTTTGCCTGCATTTTTTTGGTAATCCATAAACAAGAAATAACCCAATTAAGTCGTCTAACTACTATTTTTGATACAACGGAATCAACCTACAGGTATCCCTAACGTTTGATTTTTACTCAAATTTAATAAAAATGTTAAAATCTGGGACAACACTATATTTATATTACATGGTATTTTGGACAACATATGTCAAATTGTGTTACACCTTAGGTATACTGTTGTGTGATATATATCGTGCAATAAAATCTGCATCCAGCATCAATTGAGTTCAACAGTCTTATTTTGATAAGTAACCGGAAGTGAGGTGTATTCTAGTGTTCACCTTTACGGTGGTACAGAAACGCAGCACTTCACTTGATGATGAATGTTACTGTCAACGAGGGCGACACATTAAACCACCTCACCCAACTCAAAACCAACACCACGGCGCGTTGATCCTGGCTGAAATACAGACTTGTTCAGTCATATAATGCATTAAAAATCACTTTCGTTTTCATCGAGGTGGGAGAAAATGTTCATCTCAGTTATATCCCTCCCCTCCCCCGGTCTGCAAAGTGCTCAGAGCCCGAGTGGCCTGTACTCGCTAACAACATCTCTGACCAAACTTTGTCTCTCAGCTCTTTCTATCTGTCAAAGGTCATCGAAAAGGTAGGGGCTCCATGAGAAAAGCACGATAAGGACTCACAAAACGCTGCTTACAGTGTATCAGAGGAGAGAGGACTTGTTAAAGCTTCCTGTGTGTTTGTGCGCCTGATAACTGATCCAACATGTTAGAGAAAGGAGTAAGGAGAGTTCTGCAGCACTTACCTTTAAGAGACAACGGAGACTACCTCTGGCTCTCTGCCTCAACCTTCTCTACAACCATTTTACTGTGAAATTATCAACAGTTTAGCAGCATACGGTACACACTGAAAATATCCACCCCGGCATGCATTGCCGCATGTGAGTGGACCATTCATTTGATGGACATTTAGACTCCACCAATGAGGAGCAACGTTATATTCCAATGCTTCGAGATCAGTGTAACATCCTCAAATATAATGTTCAGTACACGTGTTGTAAATGTAAGGCTAAACAATACATCAAGACTCAGTTATGTGTGTGTGTGTGTGCGTGTGTGTGCGTGTGTGTGTGCGCGTGTGTGTGTGTGTGTGAGCTAGTTTACACCTTTGTCCTGGAGGAATGTCGTAGTATTTTTTTAATCCTCCAAAGAATGCTACATTAGCCTTTATAATCTGTGAAACACTAAAGTAACTTTAGCTTTCGTTAGAAGTAAAGGAGACTTTAACAACAGGGTTTGAATGATTTTGTAAGCATCCTGCTCAAACATTTAATCTTCTGCATCAGTAACACATATATTTATCAGGTAAATGAAAAGTTTTCAATGACAAGACTTTGCTCACCATGACATCTTAAAGGTTGTCTTCATTATCCCAGAGAGAGGACAATTTGTCATTCTGTCAGAAGTAAAAAAAAAAAAATAAAAAAAAATGCAAACATCCATCCAACAATCAACAAACAACATAAAAAGACAGCAAGAAAGATATATTTCAAAGTGTGCCAAAAAGGCGACATTAAACATATCAGAATCAGAATCAGCATAAAATCAGAATCAGAATCAGATTTAGAATCAGAATCAGGGTTTATTGCCAAGTACATTTACACATACAAGGAATTTGACTTGGTGTATTGGTGCTAAATAATTAACAAGGAAATAAAGTAGAACTAGCAACAACTTAAATAATACAGAATAAGAAGAAGATATTACAATATATAAAATAGAATTTAAAAATATCAAATATAAAGGTGAAATGTAGGAGCTGTGCAGTGGACTATGAGAAAAAAATCTTAGTTTGTAACTACTCACAGAGTGCATGTAAGGAAAACACATTTTTACATACATTTTTAAAGTCCAGTATACAGCAATATCAATCAGTGCCATTTTGAATTAATTTTTAATAAACTTTACAAACACAACAAATAAAGCAGCCATCATTTCCTCATCTTTAGTTACTTGTATGCAGTGTCCCCACAACCAGTTAAATACATAATTTTACTCTGCTATTGCATTTTATTTTTTCCTAAAGCAATGAGCATGTGTGTTTTAAGTAATGTATTATCACACCTCAATGCATTTTAAATTATCATATAATACAGTCATTCAGTTATGTTGTCAAAGTTGCCTTATTTAGCTTGAAGTTAAATGATAGCCTACTTAACTTATAAAGTCAATAAAATGGTGTGTGTGTGTGTGTGTGTGTGTGTGTGTGTGTGTGTGTGTGTGTGTGTGTGTGTGTGTGTGTGTGTGTGTGTGTGTGTGAAGTGGGGCTGCATAGAGACTGCATACACTGTGCTTTAAGAAAATGATAACGCATTAGACACAGTGTTAAAAAAAACATTGCAGGGCTTCACATAAAGTAAGGTACATTTCTGTTTCCCTGGCGCTGATACATGTAGGTGTGTTGTGCAGGTAGAATCAATGTCCAACACGATCATTACAAATACAGACTGTGTGAATGATATTAAGCAATATGTGAAACAGAAGAAATGCTCAAATGTCACTTTGCCTGTTTTGAGGAGTGAATGTCTTTACTTTCCCCAGAGCATCTCTTGTCAATACATCGAAGATATACTCAAACACACTACTGAGACTGCACATAAAGTGAGGAAACTAGAATATCTCTCCAAGTGGACTCTGTGAGACACACCACAAGGAAACCAAGAAGACCCTCACATTCAGAAACTGAGGTGCAGGCTGCCATGTTCATACTGTAGAACTTCATAAAGAGAGAAGAAACCAAATGACTGCCATTCAAATCTCAGGTTCATAGTTCAGAAAACATCAGCAGCAAAAGTCAGTCAAATCATAAACATGCAAGAGTAGTGCAAGAAATATAACCTGAGCATTTAAGATGCACTTGGGATAAACACAGTGTTTTGGTCTTCTGCAGCAGTGTCCTTAAATGACAGCCAACAGGCAAAAAGCTTAAACTCATAGAGATGTGTCAGCTCTTATATTTGAACAATGGGAGCTGGTGTTATGTCGCTGCTTTGCTAACAGTGATTTTGCCTGTTTCTTTCTCCTCATTAGGAAAATAGAGAATATAAAAGTTGTGTTTGCATTATGTTATTGTTGGTACATCTGGTTGTTGTGTGTGTTATTATTGATAGAAGGTGTTTTCTGCATCTACCTGAACAAAATAACTGCATATCCATTCACTTCATATGCATAGTCCAAGTATGGAAAGCAAGTTTTGGTTTATTTTATTTAAGAATCCAGGGGAAGTGTATTTGATGGACAATAATCCCCAACTAGTGCTCCCAGAACAGAATCACTTCTGCACTGTAAGGAAACAGGAAGCAAGTTTTGATACTCTGTACCCGGGGTTCTCAAACCTTTCAGCCTCTGACCCCAAAAAATAAGGGTGCCAGAGACTGGAGGTGGTTAAGGACTATAACATAGCGCACAGCCACACACATGCTATAGGCTTATCCAAACACTAAAAAAATAGAAAAGAATAGCCTGATTTATTGTATGAAAGATTAGAATCAGAATACTAATATTCATGGGTAGAGATTAGAGTGGACATTAAAACACTTCACAGCTGTGTGTATCTTAACTTGTAAAGATCAGCAGACACCCACGTTGTTACTGTCATGACAATGTTAGAAATTATATATATGTATTGTTTTTTTTTTTACAATACTGGGTTAAGTATACACTGAAGCTTGTGCAGCTTCTGATATGGTAGGGACCCTGGTCTCCCTCACATTGTTCCTGCAGTGTGACACACATTGTTTAAGTGGTGGTGTCTGATCATGAATAAATAAGACACACGTCTGTGAAACAATGAAAACTCTCTAAGGTCAAGGGATTAGACTTATGGTGAATGGACTTGAGCTTTTCTAGTATAGTCTTGAGTCTTTTCTAGTCTTCTGACTACTCAAAGCTCTTTTACACCACTTGTCATACCTACACATTCACACACTGATGGTAGAGGCTGCTGTGTATAGTGGCCATCAGTAGTAACTAATCCATTCATACGCCGCCCATGAAGCAGTGGGAGCAAGTCGGGGTTGAGTGTCTTGCCCAAGGACACATCGGACATGTTGCTGTATTTTGTGTCACTTCTAAATGTTTCAGTATGGAACAGTACATTTTGCTCCTGTTATTTCCATTTTCATCTATATTAAAAAAGAAATCATTTTCAGAAAAGGTAAAGAGGTAATAATGGATTTGAAGTGTCTAAAAATGTAAATTCTGGTTGGCATTTTTTGTTTTGGATTTTGAACATTTAAAAAAATCAGAGAATCGAGTACTTTGAGATTTCTGTTGTATCTTTCATCACAAGAAGTACACTGCAGGAGCAGGGGATCAAACCTTCCGGTTGAGAGATGACAACTCTACCACTGAGCCATAGCCGCCCCATGATGAATGATGTTAGTGGTAGCTCCTTGGTGTTTGATCAATAACTCTCAGAGATTGTTTGTAGAGGGTGTATAATGGTTTCAGAGTGCTCACTGACTGGGACCAGCTAGTGACTCAGTAAGATGAATGAGAGAAGTGCATAAAGAGCTTAGCAGCAGCTGAGGTATGTATACTCATAGACAGCAACACCTTCATTTGAATTTGAATTTATTTATTTAATAGGGACAATGCAATTTAACATAATTTCAATACAAAGCATGAAACTGATGTGCTGCATAAAGAGTATATAGCTATTGCTAATTTCCAACTCGTGTCCCCAGTTGGGCCTTTGTGTAAACAAACAGCGTAAAATGTACAACATTCAGTTACATAAAACCCCATAACACTTTATGAGGATACATTAAAATGCATGTACAACAATACAAATGCTATGAACCAGTTTAAAATAAAGTTTGAAGATAGTAATTAAAAGTGGGTACAGCTCTGGCTTGCTTTGAGCATTTCACCTGTTTTGTAAAATATTTTAAATCCGAGATTGATTTTATTTCAGGTGGTAATGTGTTCCAGAGTTTACAGCCTTTGATGGAGAAGGCTGATTGACCAAACGTAGATCTACGATGTTGTATGCTACAGTTTCCATTCACAGTGCTTCTCGTTACCCTGTTTCCGTCCTGTCTTTGAACATATCTGGAGAGAGGTTCAGGGGCCATGAGCTTTATACATCATCACTAGAAAGGTCATGGATGTCATGCACTTGTTTATTTTGCCTGATGTGTCTAACATTCATCAGGCTCACTCTAACACTTCTGAAGACATGTTTTATATGTTTCTTGAAGTTTAGGTTAGAATCAATGATTATCCCCAGATACTTAAAATGCTCAACCATTTTTATTACCTCTCAGTAAAATGTCAGGTTGATTTGTATTATTTGTCTCCAAAGAGAAGCACATGCCCACAGTTTAGCTCACTGTAAGAGTTTGACAACATTGATTATCTGATACGTTGCTCAATGCTGCAGAGAGTTTGGAAGCAGCGTGGGTGTAAATAACTGTGTCATCTGCATACATGCTTATTGGGAGTTGGAAGCTGGTCTAAGGCTACTTTAACAATGCAGGAAAAAGTGACCCTAATCGATTTCTTTGCTGATATGTGACTCAGATCAGAATTCTGATTAGCACAAGTCACATGAAATCTGATGTTTCCTTTAAATTAATTATTTTCTTAATATAGGGTATGAGTTGAAAGCAGTAAGAACCTTAGTTTTATATCATGTATCTACAAAAAGTTAAAGGTTTCAATGCTTTGATTAGTCTTGTTGTAGGATGATACCTTTCAAACTATATTCTTAACTTTCACAATCATGTATGTTATATAGAAATCATTTCATTTCATTTTCCATTTATCATACAGAAAAGTTTAAAAGTAACATTAAGTTACAGTTTAGCGGGCCTGACTCAGTTTAAAAACTGGTTTCCAGCATGTTCCTGTTATGCACTTTGTCTCTCCTCCCCTCCCTC